TCATGACATGTCCCTATAAAAGTACACCCATGAAGTAACAGCCACTTAGTAAAAAAAATAAATAAATAAAATAAAAAGTAGATTTAAGGAAAGGTGTGAGTTCATTCATTCTTAGGGAAATAATAATAAAAAAAGAACCCTATAGTCCAGCAGTTTTTTTCCAGAACAGGATATAAACAGAAATGTTTTTAAAAGGCCCTCAGAGTATCTGTAGGGTGCTCAGCTCAAAACAAAACAAAATAAAAACAAACAAAACAGTGAAGCCCGAGTTGCCTGTTAGATTGGCCCTTACTTGTGCCACGCTGCAGCATCGTTGTAGGAAAACAACTTCAGTATCAAAAACAAATGCCTGCACTTCTATTCTAATACTTGTTCAGTAAAATACCTACCGGAAAGGAGCGGGATGTTTCAGACCTTTCCCACGGAATGAATCAAATGTTGTGAGCCTTAGGAAATGTTATTTTTGCTGTCTGGCTAGTCTGACTTGGGGTTCAGACCCCCTGGAACCCTCCCCCTTTTCAGTGAGATGGGAGGAGCAGAAAGGGAAGGGCCCCTGTCACCAGAGAGAGGGCAGGATTTAGTTCTGTTTACATGTCCTTGGGTCCGTCAAAATGTGAGTGCTGTGTTCTTTTATTTTCCTAGTGACAGAGCAGCAAGATACTATTATTACTGGCACCTGAGAAAACAAGTCCTTCATTCTCAGTGTGTGCTCCGTGAGGAGGCCTACTTCCTGCTGGCAGCCTTCGCCCTGCAGGCTGATCTTGGGAACTTCAAAAGGAAGGAGCACTATGGAAAATACTTCGAGCCAGAGGCCTACTTCCCATCCTGGGTAGGTACCATTTTCAAATTCTAAGGGATGCTTATTCCAGCACACTCCTAGTTCACTGCACGACTTCAAATAATGGGAGTCCAGACCTCAGTGGCTAGCGAAACCCTCCCCGTTGCCCACGGAGAAACCTAACCTTTGAGAGTGTCATGTGCAGATGTCTCGATGTACTTGGTCTGCTTAGAGTGAATGTAGGGGAAAGGCTCGCTCTCCGTCTTAAATGTGGTGGAACTTGGACCTCCTCAGCCTCTTTTTGACATTTGACCATCAACTCTTATCCTTAGCAGAGCATCATTTTCCTTGAAGGGAGAAAAACATTACTCTTCAAAAGGTGAAAGGTGGGTCAGCCAGGTGGCATGGTGATTAAGGTGCCTGGATCACACATGGCTGACTGCACGATTCAAATCCCGGACCTGTGGCTTGAAAAATATGCCAGACACATGGGCATGCATGCCCAAAATCCCCAGAGGAAAATGGAGGAGAAGGGATTGCAATGTGGTCCTCTCTCTTGAGGGATGGTTTCTTGCTTTCCCTTTCTCTCTCTCTTCTCTCTCTCTGTCTCTGTCTCTCTCTCTCTGACAAGCACATATGCCCTATAGCAAAAACTGAAATAAGTGAATGGTGAAAGGTGAGATCATTCACAGCTTTTCCTGTGCTGAGAAAACAAATATAAGTCCCCTTCTTGCTCTGACCTTCATGTCTTCACTCCCAGGAGGAGAGCCACCCCCTTACATCCCCAGGAAATTTAGGTTACCTCGCAGGCGGGGTCTCGGTTACCTTTCTCCACCCCATCCTGTCCGTGCCTTGTCCCGCCCTTCCTCTGGGTGTTTGCTGTGCTACTCTCTCTTATGTATCATTAGCTTTTCCTGAAACTAAACCTTCAAAACATGTTTGGTTCTCACCCATTAGTTGTTGGGAAGGAAAGCAAGCAGATCTACTGCTTTCGCCTTTCCTTCTCAGTAAAGCATCTTGAGAAAGTAGTGTGTATTTTGGTTTTTTAGCTTTTCTTCCCACTGTGTTCCTCGGGCCACTTCCGTGTGCCGTCTTTCCCCCCAAGTCCTTGCACACTGGTGACCTTTGTATTTCCTCCCCAGTGGGCATTTTTCTCTGCTTCTCCTGAATTTCATGCTGCATTTGACACTTACCCACTCACATCTTGGGAGATCTCAGCCCAAGTCATACTTGTAGCAATCACTGACAGGCTGGCAACTCGCAAATCCATTTCTCTCCTTGTGTCCGTGAGGTAGCTGTTTGCCCATAGGCACCTCAAGCTCAAGATGGCCAAGATAAATGAATCTTTTTCCCACCTCAAGTCTGTCTTCCTCCTTTTGTCTTTCTAGCCTCAACTAGTAACACTGCCACCCTCTCTGCCGCCTAGAAACTTCAGAGTTCGTACGGAACTTTCCTTCCTTATAAGTCTCTTTCCCCCCTTCCTTATAAGTCTTTTCCCCTACCCCAGCCAGTCAGCCACACATCCTCAGACGTGTACACCGGCTCGTCCATCACCCGGGGATCGAATTCTCTAGTCCTGTTGTTGCTATGAGCTTTCCTAAGTGTTCTTCGCCTCCCCTCTCTGGCACAGTGCCTTCTGTTCCTTGGTTTCCAGCTCAGGGGCACTAGTGCAAAGGCTTGTCCCTGCCCCAGGCATTACACCATAGCTGGCAGGTGAGATGATGCGGCTTCTGATGTAAACTGTCAGGGGCTCCCTTGTCACCAGTGACATGACTTAGAAGCACATGGGATGTGAGGACTGCCAGCCATTCCAGCTCCTTACTGGCTGTCCTGCACCTTGCCTGCTACGCCCTGGCAGCGCTCAGCAGTTGCTGTAGCTGTATACCCGCTGTGATGTCCACACCTTGCCAGCTACACCCTGGCAGCGCTCAGCAGTCGCTATAGCCGTACACCCGCTGTGATGTCCACACCTTGCCAGCTACGCTCTGGCAGCGCTCAGCAGTCGCTATAGCTGTACACCCGCTGTGATGTCCACACCTTGCCTGCTACGCCCTGGCAGCGCTCAGCAGTTGCTGTAGCTGTACACCTGCTGTGATGTCCACACCTTGCCCGCTATGCCCTGGCAGTGTTCAGCAGTCACTGTAGCTGTTCACCCACTGTGATGTCCACACTTTGCCTGCTACGCCCTGGCGTGCTCAGCAGTCGCTGTAGCTGTTCACCTGCTGTGATGTTCACACTTTGGGCCCCTCCTCTCACATTCTTTTCACCCTGTCCCTCTCACTGTTGCACCTGGTTAACTCCTGCGTCTCTAAGACAGCTCAGCTGTGAGTCCTCTGGGTAGACCATCCAGGTGCCCAGTACTTCTCCTCTGGGCTCAAGAAGATCTTGGACATAGGGTTCTACATCATCCTTCCAATGATCTGTTTATCTCTTGCCCTCAGTAAACTGTTTCTTTGCATAATCTAAAGGATAGGCATAAATGTAACCCTTTTTGTTTTTTAAGGTTTTTGCTATAGGGTCTGTGCACTTGCTGAAGAAATCAACCCCGAGGGACGATAGCCATGTGGCAGTTCCTTCTCCCCAGTTCTCCTTGTGGGATTTCGAACGTGCATGCATACACGCCTGACATGGTTTCCAAGCCACCAGGTCCAGGACTTGAACTATGGTGGACCATGTGGAAGTCCAGGACCTTAGCCACCATACCACCTGCTGGCCCCAATCCTTTTCTATTTTTATCAGCACTTTACATGAGAGTGCTCAGTAACTTTCTGTTGACTGATGGACAGTGTTTCAGTGTGGACGGAAACCCACAGTGTACATCAAGCTGTTTCTGTCTGTAGCTTGTGTTCACATTCTCTGGATGTCATCAGGTGCTGACTAAGCATTGGTAAATTAAAACAGAGCTTCCTAGTGAATGTGCCATGGCATCAATGTGCCGAGATACCGGTTCATCCACCGTCAGCATCACCAAAACCATCCTCTTCAATGCCCTTAGAAATACCATTTTCTGTGTGGTTTTGACCTAAAAAAATGGTTTCTAAGTACTGTTGATCTTCATGTAAAAAGACTATAGAAAGAAAAATCTGTAGCTTGTGTTCTCAGCAGAACTTGATAAGTGACCAGTATGTTTTAGGTTTTGCTCTATAAAATATCCAGTGTGAAAAAAAAAAAAAAAAAAACAAACAAAAAACTATAAAGACATTTTAAAACTCAGATTTTCTAATCTTTTTATTCCAATCACTTTAAGCACTATTTGTGTGTATGTTTATGTATCTCATTCTTCCATGAGAGAGAGCGAGACCCCCCTCTTCCTGCACTGGGCTATGGGCACGGATGCTCCTGGCGAGCCCGAGGAAGTCTCCAGACACAGCCAGAACGCCACCCCCCCCCCCCCCCCCCACGGGGCAGCCTTGCAGAGCTCTGTGTCCTGGCTGTACCACTGTCTGGCCCCAGGCACTGCTGTTTTTGCTCCTGTTACGTAATTCTTTCCATTTTTTAATAATCCTTATGAAATCAGCGAAGAGTTTAATCAACATCTTTCCCCTAGCCTGCAGCTGCTGGGTTCTGTATATTTTGACATCTGAGAGCTCAGACTACTGTCCGATGGAAATCTAAGCCACGGTGAATCACAGGGAACGTTTGAATGAAATTGTTTTCTCCCAAGTATTCAAATGGAATGTTCATCATACCAGCCTCCTAGACAGGAACCAAAAATATTTTGGAGAATGTCTCCCAGTCTCCTGCCTTCTTTGGATTAACGTTTAGAATCTCCCACCCTGTGGCTGTAATTTTATAGGCGTTAAGTGAGATCCAGACCCTCAGGATATGCTGACAGTAGATGTATTCCTTTGTACTAGTAATTTTGCAAATATAAACAATGATGTGTATGGAATTACTCAAGTTTGCATGTTTTTCTCCCCACCCCCTCCTTGGTAACGTTAAAGTCAAAAGAATCTCTTTTTCTCATTTCTTGTGGGGTTTTTTGTTGTTGTTGTTATATATGCAGCACTAGAGCTAAACTGACCTCATAGCTTCCAGTATTACTGATGCAGCCTAGTAATGTAACAGATGGTAAAAATAGACTAAAAGTGGGAATTTTCTAATATGAATTAGCCTGTTTCTGTGACCTACTCTATCTCGGCCTTTTGTCATTTGGGGAGTGGGGGAAGCACTTACATCCCTCCCACAAATGTCACATTGCCTACCCCTTGTATCCCAACAGGTTGTTTCCAAGCGGGGGAAGGACTACATCCTGAAGCACATTCCAAACATGCACAAAGATCAGTTTGCACTGACAGCTTCCGAAGCGCATCTTAAATATATCAAAGAGGCCGTCCGACTGGATGATGTCGCTGTGCATTATTACAGATTATATAAGGTACAGAACTGCAGTGGGCCTGCACCTTCCGAGAGAAACACCTTCCTGATTAGGGTTTTGACTTGTGAAAATAACTATTTCATTTCTTAATAGGCTTTAAAAGACTTTTATTCTGGGGACCAGCAGTTAGCATAATGGCTATGTTGCTGGACTTCCACGTAGTCGACCGCGTCATTTGGGGAGTGGGGGAAGCACTTACATCCCTCCCACAAATGTCACATTGCCTACCCCTTGTATCCCAACAGGTTGTTTCCAAGCGGGGGAAGGACTACATCCTGAAGCACATTCCAAACATGCACAAAGATCAGTTTGCACTGACAGCTTCCGAAGCGCATCTTAAATATATCAAAGAGGCCGTCCGACTGGATGATGTCGCTGTGCATTATTACAGATTATATAAGGTACAGAACTGCAGTGGGCCTGCACCTTCCGAGAGAAACACCTTCCTGATTAGGGTTTTGACTTGTGAAAATAACTATTTCATTTCTTAATAGGCTTTAAAAGACTTTTATTCTGGGGACCAGCAGTTAGCATAATGGCTATGTTGCTGGACTTCCACGTAGTCGACCGCGGTCGAGTCCTGGACCCGGTGGCTTAAACTCACACCAGGCATGTGTGCGTGCCCAAGATCCTAAAAGGAGAATGGAGGAGAAGGGATTGTGGCATGGCCATTGCCCCAGGGGGTGATTTCTCGCTTTCTGTCTCTGTCTTTCTGGCGAGTGCACGTGCCCTATAGCAAAAACCTTTGGAAAAAAGAAAAAAAGGCAGAGTTTCATTCTGACTGCTGTTTGTTAGCCAAGGTCGATTATGGAAGGGATGCTTTTCCTTTGGCTTGGTAGCAGGACAGAATGTTTTTTTAATGGTCCCAGTGAGATAAAAAATGGCTACAGATTTTGAATCTGGCCTTCAGTGACTATGGAATAGTTACTTTTCTCCTCCTCTAATGTGCTTTTCTGCTTTGGGGTAGGGGATACTATTTGCAACTTTTTTGATCATAATGTTTAATAGTCCTCAAAGAGAAATCAATACTTGCTTTATATTCATTAACTCCACACATATCACTACAACCAAGTAATGTTTATGGACTTCTTTGTTTACTGGGCGTACTTTAGAGCTATTACAGACCAAGAACGTGAAGCCTAACAAGGCTAAATCATTCACCTGAAAATCACCACGCTCCGTGGCAGAGCCAGGATCCAACTCAGGCCTTCTTGATAACAAACCTTATTGCTAAAGCCACTGTACTTACGTCTCTTCCCGTCTCTGAAGTTCGTTCATCTCTTGTCTTCTGGGTGTGTCTAGCCTCATTTTTCCATCCTGGGACAGAAGTCACATACCCAAATATCAACAGGGAATCACTCACATGATTTAATAATCTCATTTTCTCTTCCCCCTCCTCATCCTCACCTCTTTCCCTTTTCTACAAGTGCCACTGCTGTGGCAAGAACTTCTGAATTCCCACTCCAGCTTGCAAAGATATGTTCTCAAACCAAACGGGATGAAATGGTTGAGAGCATGGCCAAGCCTAACTGTGTGGGATACGATCCCAGCTTGGCTCCTTCCTGCTCGATTTTAGGCATATTACTTAACTTCTGTGTGCTCCAGTTTCCCCATAGTTAAGTGGAAACGGCAGCATTTTGCTCAAGACTGGAGAAGGTAACGGATCACAGGTGATTAGAACAGTGCTCAGCATGTGTGGAGCTCCATGTTAAACTTGCTGTTGCTATCATCATATTGCTACCACTAAGCTTGTTATCTTATTCCACGACAGCCTTTGCGGTAAGAGTAACTGGGCTAGGTCCTCAGAGACTAGGCTGTATGTAGTTGGGATGTACTGCTAGGTAATCCTTCTGGCTGATTCAGAAAACCTAATAAGGAATCAGTGGATGGTTTTTCCCTCTCTTTTCCATGCCCAAAGAATGCATTGCTAATGCCTCGTCATCCTTGAAAAGCTTAACTGAATTCCATAAAATCTCTTAGGCCAAATTCCTAAATGGAATTAACTCTTTTCCCTCAAGAGATTACATTTGTGACACCTCAGTTTACATGAGAAAATGCAGACACATGGCATTTTTGACCATCAGTTTGTTTTTAAAAAGTACTAGAAGTGTGAATGATACACTGGAGAGACCGTGGCCCTGGCATCGGATTCAGAAATCCTGTGTCCCTGCTCGCTATTGCTGGAATCCTGGGCAGCTTTGTCTGTAATCCTGGGCGCTCTCATAAGTGGGAATGATACTGTATACACGACCGAGGCTGGGTCGATGTAGTGAGATAAGAATCTCCCAAATACCGAAGAGGTGGAACACCTGGCACATGAGTGAATGCTCAATAAATATTTGGTGCTTCTTGCCTTACTTGCTTGGGGAGCTTGCTGTTTTACAGAATCCTATTAGTAACTATCCCTTTTAGTGAAGTAGATATACTCAATTTATCTTTCATATAAAAATTAATTTTTCACATTCACTTTTACATTACATAGAAAATTTCTCGACTGCTTAAACTGAGATATTTAAATAAAACAGAATGGACTAAAGTGAGGGAGAAGCCATGGCTACCTGATGGGCAGTTGTACTCTTTTGGCAGAATCAGGTGGCAGCCATTAAGTCTTCTTCATTTAGAGGCAGATTATTAAATGGAAATAAGGTAGACAGAGAATAGTAAACATTCTGAAAAATAAAATTGTTTTGTGCCCCTTTCCCTCCAATATACACCTCGTACATGAACAACCAGCATGTTTATAAGCACGGTCTTATTTCAGAAGGCCATCGGGACAGCCTTGGAAGGGAAATTGGCCGAAACTCATATAGTGATGGATGGTTTCTCCTGTTAAAACTCGTGCCGTATGTGCCTTTGGTTGATGTAAAAATATATGGGTTGGAAAAAAACAGCCCAGATAGTGAAAATAGACTTTGTCTTCTTTTTACTATGCAAGGTGAGGATGCATTCTCTAAAATATGTTTTGCTGTGTTTATGGGAAAACTGGCACTAAACTTAGCTTTGTCCATTCTTATTTATGGTTTGTATTGAGAAATCTCATGATGAAAATATTTTAGTTACTTATTACTTTACTTATCTTCTGTTTTAAAATTTAGACCTCACATATTTTCATTACAGGTGGGTAGTTATAGATATGGCCAAATTTCAGAATACATGGTTAATTGAAGGATTTGTTTATGTTCATTATAGGGTTTTTTTTATAGTTTATGTTTTAGCTGATAGAATGTGTATTATATTGGCAGACGATAACTGAAATTCTTAAAAAATAGTATTTCCAAACTGAATCTAAAGCTTTACAGTATTATTATCTATCGCCATGGAAGAGCCTTAACTGTTTAGTAACTTGTATTTAATTCTGGATTCAAAGCTGGGAGATTTGCTGAGTGTTAAACATACGAAGTCTGATGGTCTTAGAATACAACCATGATATGAGATTCACAATTCTAACATCTAAGAAAAGATTGAGCATAAAACAGAAGGATAAAAACATCAAATGAGAACTAGCCCATGGCAAGCTGGATCCCACATGGCTAACCATGGTTTGAATCCTGGACCTAGAAGCTTAAGAAATGTGTTGGGTGCAAGTGTGTGCATGCCCAACATCTCAAAAGGAGGGAGAAATGAAGCAGAAGGGATTCTAGCATGACCATTCCTGTTGTCTGCGGGTACTTTCTCACTCTCCCTCCCTCATTCTGTCTGTCTCTGGCAAGTGTACATCCCCTCTGCAGCCCCCCCAATCAATGATATAAAAACAGCAAAACTAGTTTTATTTCCTGGAGTTCTCAATAACACAAGCATTTTGATTATTACCAGATATGAAAGTGTACATAATATAGTAAAAATACTAGAACTTTGAAATTTCAGGTGTTTAAAGAGTAAATGGTACTGTTACTGATTTAATATGTACTCAAGATTTTCTTAAAACTTGTAAGAAACTAGGAATGTGGAAAGATTTGAGCACAGTCATTTTAAGTCAAAAACTTTCCAATGCTGAAATTTCTATTTCTTTGATATTAAATTGTCCATGGTAGAAGAAAAATAGGCTTTTTTTTTTTTTTAATAAAATTTTGTTCTTACAGGATAAAAGGGAAATTGAAGCTTCACTGACCCTTGGATTGACCATGCGAGGAATCCAGATTTTTCAGGTTGGTAAAAGAGAACCAGGTGTCAAATGGTATCAACCATGTCCTGTATTTACAGTATGCCTGTGTAGTCCTGCCAGGGATCTAGGGGTCCATTTCTCGCCACTGATGGGCCGTTATTTCCTGTGTGTCCAGCACAGATGTGGATGCTGCAGGATTGATGAAGTGACCCAGCCTGATCCCTGGCAGTAATAAGTCCTCTGTGATGAACCCGTGTTCATCACTGACAGATCACCAACACTGCCTTAATATCCCACACATTTCTCTTGTCGGGGCATTGATTTTAAATCTTCCTTTATCTTGTAGGACATTTATAACTATGGGAAGAAGAATGGCATTTTAATACAGTGCCTGACCAGATGTTTTAATTTCCGTTACTCTTTTCTGATAAAATTTGTCCCTTGAATATGTAGTTAGTGACTGTCACTCTTTTGCAAGTGGGATGGTGTTGTCCTACAGCCATCAACATAGAAGAGAAGATAACTCTTTCTGCAAGATTTAGGGAAATATGAAGGTGTCTTATCTTTAACATAGGCAGATGATGTCCTACTACAAAGTCTCACTGCCTTATCACATCTCTTGAATGCCGCATGTTTGAGTTTTTGTTTTTAATTTAAATTTAAGGATCAGCCACAGGGGAAAAGATCGCCTTGAAAGGGCCAGTTAATGAAGTCACACAAGAACAGAAAGCTATAGCATTGTATCACTAATCTTTTAATTACTGTCTGCACGTCTCCAAAGAGAGTTGGGGACTGCTTTCAGATTTTAATTACTGTATTTTACTTTTCTGAGATATATCAGGACCCTTTTAGAGTATCTGTCATTTTGCCCATTAATTCTATTTGCATTATAATTCTTCCCACAGAACTTAGATGAAGAGAAACAATTACTTTATGATTTTCCCTGGACAAATGTTGGAAAGTTGGTGTTTGTGGTAAGTTTAAGATAACTGACTTTAAAAAAAAAAAACTCAGTGATTGTTTGTAGATTTTTATTATGTTTGTTTTTACACAGTATTGACTCAGGCACAGAGTTGTGTTTTGTTTTTGTTTTTGTTTTGTTTTTAATAAGCTGAAGTTGATTTACCTTCTTAAATGCTTATGCAGGCACTATAATCCTTGCCACTTACACTAGTAATGAACTTAAAGGATCTTGGGGCCATTAAGTAGTAAGGTGGTTGAGGTGTTGGACGCCCACATGACCCAACTGTAGTTTGAGTCCTGGACCTGGCAGATTTCTCACTTTCCCTTTCTCTCTCTTTCTTTTAGAGTATCTGTCATTTTGCCCATTAATTCTATTTGCATTATAATTCTTCCCACAGAACTTAGATGAAGAGAAACAATTACTTTATGATTTTCCCTGGACAAATGTTGGAAAGTTGGTGTTTGTGGTAAGTTTAAGATAACTGACTTTAAAAAAAAAAAACTCAGTGATTGTTTGTAGATTTTTATTATGTTTGTTTTTACACAGTATTGACTCAGGCACAGAGTTGTGTTTTGTTTTTGTTTTTGTTTTGTTTTTAATAAGCTGAAGTTGATTTACCTTCTTAAATGCTTATGCAGGCACTATAATCCTTGCCACTTACACTAGTAATGAACTTAAAGGATCTTGGGGCCATTAAGTAGTAAGGTGGTTGAGGTGTTGGACGCCCACATGACCCAACTGTAGTTTGAGTCCTGGACCTGGCAGATTTCTCACTTTCCCTTTCTCTCTCTTTCTCTGGTGAGTGCCTGTGCCCTATAGCAAATTCAGAAATCATCATCATCATAAATAAAATTCTTTTAAAAAAAAATCCAAGAGTCTTAAAGCAAAAGAAATTACAAATTTTAATTTGTATGCCTAGTCCTCTCCATTCTACCCAAAGTTATTCTAGTTGCAGAAGAAACGTGGAAAAAGTACTAGCTGAGTTCATCAGATGGAGTTATCATAAAGCCTACAGCAGAGAGATTGGAAAACCGAAGGCTGTAATCACAGGGTGAATTACTCTTAGTGTGGGGGCCGGCCAGTTCCTTTACAAGTTCTTTCCAGTAAAGAATAAAGAGTGATATAAAAAGATGCTTCTATTAATGTCTGACTATTTAAACTGCATCATTATACAGAAAGGCCTACAATTCTTAACAGGAGCAGAAGTTTTATTTTCAGAATATTGAAAATGATACACTTTCTTTTGTTGGAGCAAATTCTTGATTTTTTCCTAGCTGTTTCTCTACTTTGCCAGCTCTATCCATTTTGGGGGAAGGTTCAAAGAATTACAGTTAATATGTGCATCTGGTGGTCATTAAAATCCATACTTCTGCTTTGTTCAGAAATGGTTTGGTAAAAGTGCATGGGAAAAGAGGAATAAGGATTCATAGGCGTGCACTTCTGTCCCAGAAGGAAGGCGGCCTGTGTAAAGGGCTGTCTTACAAGTGGACCATGGGTGCCACTCCACACTGCCCTGTGAGTCAGGGCTTCTGACTTCACGTTACTTTAATTGCTTGGGCACAGTTCAATCTGATTTCACTTTTCTCATGCATTAAAAGTGGGCCTTGACCTGCCTCCTCCTCACTGGCTCTCTCTCACTTAAGCTTTTAGTGAACGGATCTGAGCTGTTTGAAAATGAGCAAGCTATCACCCCACTTGTCCCTGACATGTCCCATATTAAACAGAAATAAAATACATTTATAAAAGTAAAGGGTTTTTAGGGTCCTGGACTCAGGAGTTCCTGAACCTAGTTGTACATCAGCCTTATCTGAGGATCTTGTGATTTTTTTAAAAGAGAATTACTTTATTTCATGTATTATCATCATTATTATTTGTTTAATTTGACGAGAGAGAGGGAAAAAAAAGAAAGAAGGAAAGCAGGCCTTCAGGTCCAGGACTCGAACCATGGTTGGCCATGGAGAAGTGTCCTTAACCACCATGCCACCTATTGGCCCTGGATCATGTGATTTAATCTCAACATAAAGGAATTAAATATCAACTTTGAAAAATGTAAAGAAATTTATAGTATCTCCTAGCTGTGGGGAACTGTCAAACTCTCACCCATAATTTTGAAGTTAATGAGCTCAGGCTTTTAGAATGATATTCCTGATATCTCTATTGATAGTGGTTCTTTCTCTTTCCTGCCTCATCCTTCTTCCTACCAACTTCCTCTTTGGTCCCATTAGAGAAATTTTTCATTTTTTCTAAGCCCTAAGATGGTATTGTGTATTGTACATGATCTTAACTATCATAAACTGTAATTTTTAAAATATAGTTATTTACCATCTTCCACCAAGATGTGGCTCCATGAGGACAGAGCCCTTTTCTGTTATCTTTTCAGTGCCCAAGGCAATGTTTAGTATATAGTATGTGCTCAGTAAACATTTGAGTGCATCAGTCTCTTCTAGAATGTGTCTTCTTCTTGCTGAGTTAGGGTGTAGGGGTTGCAATCTAGCACCTTACACAATGGACTCTTCTCTTCTTAATTATACATAGCTTGTCCAAAGGAACTGAAGGTATTCCTCCGCTGTCTTACATAGTCAGTGTTTACTAGAAGACCTTGGCTGGATGTTTCCCTGACATTTTTAAAAGGGAAAACAGTAATTTATCCCTCAGGAAATTTTCAAGCATGCTTTATACATCTAGTTCTGAATTTGTGGTTTTCCTTACTAAGTAGAAAATGAAGGAGACCTTGGCAAATCAGAGATGTTTTTCTTTTTGAAATTGTTTCATGCTTTCTCTCCATAGGGTAAGAAATTTGAGATTTTGCCAGATGGCTTGCCCTCAGCCAGGAAGCTCATATACTACACGGGGTGCCCCATGCGTTCCAGACACCTCCTGCAGCTTCTGAGCAACAGCCACCGCCTCTACATGAACCTGCAGCCTATCCTGCGTCACATCCGGAAGCTGGAGGAGAATGAAGGTATCGTGGGGTCTCAGGTGGGGGAAGTGAACGCTGCCTTTGCCATTTATGGATGCTTCCTCTGAAGCTGCCATATTCAGATTCCAAGATCCTAAGAGTAGGATTTAGGGACAGGCACAGTCTAGACTCAGAGCAGACTGCTCTAGAAAACAAGGGGATGGGCTTGAGGCCCACCTACCTTGGCACCTATTCAAAATACCTGAGGTTACCCCAGTCATTTAGCTGCCCCTCGAGTATAGACTCTAAAGTTCCCCCACACCTGGCTTGAGAAGCCTTGCAAAAAGCCACCCTACAGAGGTACAGGGCAAGAGTTTATCTACAACTCAGATTTTATCTGCATCCCAGCACTCTGTACACACCGACCCAATTGGTGCAATTAACCGTAGGCAGTCTAGAATTCCTTTCAGTGCGATGACTCCTTAGGTTACAGTGATATCAAAGGTGGGTCATGGAAGTGTCTCCAGCCTCTGCGATTGACAGCTTACAGGCCCTGCCTCGGGCC